TGCTGGGACCTGAGTAAGGGGTTGTATTTCACCCTAATCTTACAACTGATTCGCTGCTCGCAGCAGATCCTATTATAGAGTTGATTACATTGTATTAGTTCAGATCATGGGGGATTGCTAGGCCTTAATTGCCCAAACCATTGACAATCCTGATCTAGCCACGTTGAGACAATAATTGTCATACCTATTAATTTACCTTATTCATTTTTATTCTCAAATTGTCAAAAATCTTACTAGTGGGATCCCTTTCAAGTCCACTCCAGTATCTTTTGACCTGACTATGACTATAGTGTTTGAGTATGCAGAAGCCTGGACCGTGTAGTATTTTGTTCCGTTGTGCGTAGGGTTGCTGTGGGTCAGAACCGACTCAATGGCCCCTAACAACAACTCCGAAGCCTGTGTGGAGGTCGATTTCACAACCCACTTAGAGCTCAGCAGATCAAACCCATCAGTCCTCTTCAACCTCCCACGAAGATTTACAGGCTCTGAAATCGAGTCAGGTAGCAGTATATTAGATAGTCCATACTCACATTGTACTTTTATATTTCTAGAACCAGCCATTTCTGTAAGAAACCCTGATTCCGATATTAACAAATGGTATTTAGAAACAATATGTGTACTTTTTATTACTTGTTTTTTATTACCTTGTGGATCAATTCTTTAAAATAGATTTCTCCTTAGTATATCCGTAGAACCTATTCCAATGGAGTCTTTGTTGAATTATAGACTACCTCTTTAAGAGTGAAATTTAGAAAGCATTTAGAAACCTATCAAGGGGGTTGAAACAACAGGAATCAATGATGAAAATCAATGAACGAATGGCTTTGATTTGAATCATGGAATCTGTTAGGAGATTCTCCTAACCCAGGTAAATTCTCCTAGGACTTAGGAAGAATGCGTGGAAGAGATTGAGATCAGCCCTTAAATTTTATCTGCATTTTCAGCCCATAGATCTTTTTCTGATATTGAAAAGAATTCAGATCACTACCATCTCCTCGCCCTCTCTGCTCTCTGGAAGCGACTTCTCATTTGTGGCTCTCAGTGCATCACCTTAGATTTCCAGGGGATGAGATGACTTATCTTGAAAAGAAAGAATTTTCCTGGTCTTATTAAACAGCAAAGGAATGTGTGTGTGTGTGTGTGTGTATTCCCATGGACTAGTGAATTCAGTTAAAATGAAGCTAGAAAGACAGATTTCAGTGCTCTTGAGAATCTCGTATGTTTAATATCTATTCAGAGGAATGAGGATTCAGTCAGAACCACTCTTTGAGGATCTATTGACTGTCAAAGTGTAATTGGATTTTTATATAGCAGTTCATTTTGGTGGAGGTGGGGATGGGAAGGTGATTACAAAGTAACAAACAAAATGTAAGTGATGGTACCTTTGATTCCTCCCCATCCCCCACCCTACCCCCTGCTCCCGTATCTTTACAGATCCTGGGAATAAACCCCTTATCCCCATAGTAGTCTTAGAAAACAAGGCATACACTTCAACTACTTCTGCTGTGAATAATCCATTGAAGCCAAACAGCATTATACTAGATTCATCAGTGTTCACACAAAGGTCATATTCTTACATATCTCTTTGAATTTGTGGGACACATATGGTGTACCACTTCTATAGAAGAAATATTTTCATTTTAGAATTCAACTTTTGTAACCTTTGGCAACATGTAGTATCAATGGCTCTTTGTTGTTAAAAAAAAAAGTAAAACTGTAAGCTATCCCCAAGGATATGCAGGGCGTTGCTATAGCAACAGAAGCTGCCTCCCAGCACCACAGAGAAGCTATGAATAAAAGATGGTGCTCTAAGGACAGCAGAATAGAAGAGGTTGTTTCGAGCCTTCTAATACCTGAAATTTGCTGTTATTTTGTTAAATGCAAAATAAAAAATCTCGGGAAAAGGCTCAGTTCACTAAAAAGATGAATTTCTAGATTGTACTTTAGATGTCATGGGGAGAAACAGCTTTTCAAAAAGACTCAGCCTATGGTAGCAAGGAAGGGCCAGATTCTTTGATTGATACATTTTTCTATTTAGTTTTTTTTCCCTCTTCAGATGAAAGACCTTAAAGAGAAAAATATTTTAATGTTATAAACAAAAGTGGGGCTATTTTAAATTCTGACCCAAAAGAATCTCCTGGTTCCATATTTAAATGTAAGTACACTTTACATAAAATGCAGAACAAAACAAAGTGCTCTAATTTCAGCTTGCATTGTCTATTCTAAATCCAGATATTTCATCCATATCCTCTTTGGCCACTGAGTTCGTATACTAGTGGCTTCTCCACAGTGACCTATCAACCTAACTGTGTATTATGGAATTGGGCATCTCAGGTTCCAAATCTTAAGGCAATTGCTGAAAGTTGCAGATGAAACGAACATGAATGAATTTTGAATGGATCTCTCTTGATATGTGTTTTTTCATATCCATATTTATAGCATGATCAATTTTTAAAAACCATTTTATTAGGGGCTCATACAACTCATTACAATCCATACACACATCAATTGTGTAAAGCTCATTTGTACATTCATTGCCCTCATCATTCTCAAAACATTTCCTCTCCACTTAAGCCCCCGGCATTAGGTCCTCATTTTCCCC